TAATCAGCAGAGGTGAGGCCTGATTACTTCAATACATTATATTGCTTGGGGGTAATAGTGCGAATAAAATGATGACCATATCAACCAGGGAGGTTATCATTAGTTTTCTTCATACTGTTCCATCTGTATTATTCAACTCTCATCCATATTTTACTCAAGGCAGCTGCGATAAAAATGATAAAGCCAGTGACGCGTGGCTGCTTTTAATTTAGATCCATTTCCAGCACAAAGTGCAACACAGGGTTATGCAGATGGATGCTTAGAAGGTATTGTTTATATAGATAGAGTGAGTGAGTGAGTGAGTGAGTGAGAATTATTGTAATGCATTGTAGTTCTGTGACTTTGGAGAAGGGTGTTTGGAGGTGTTCCAAGGAGTGGGAAGGGAAGGAAACCAGCACCAACAAGAGAGGGCACATCCCAAAAGCACCTCGGCCTCCTTTCCTCCTTTTCTGATCTGCCACGTTTCAGTGGCTTTTATTGGCATTCCAGACCCTTTTCAGGGCAAAGGAGCAAGGAGGGACTCTTTGTATTCTTCCTGTGGAGATTGGAAGGCTATAGGCATCCCCATTGGATTACACCATTGATTGAATGATTGATGGATGGATGGATTGATTTAAGCTGCTTGTGACACCCCAAGTAAACTAAGAAACACAGGAACATATGCTACGTGAACTGGATAAAGGCTCTATCCAAGCAGGGAGAGTTAAGTGACAACCAGGGCAAAGGGCTACAATTGCTAGGGGTTTGCTCAGGGAGACACTGGTGCCCAAGGGTGGGAGGGCTGGAGAGCCTCTGGGAATGCAGAAGGGAGAGATACTGTAAATGAGACCCAGGAACAGGAAGATTCACACTCCCAAGGACAGGACGGGGATTGAGGGCAACAAGGACTAATAGTCCTCACCTGGGATCCATCATGCACTGCCACCCCATGAGCTATCTGATCGGTGATGGGAATAAAGGAGGAGAGCCTGCAGGGGCTTGGGGTACTTCTCTGAGGAGAGGCTCCACTCTTGCCGGCTGACTCTTGGCTGGAGAATGCTGTGCTACCCTGTGTCTTTGATGTCCATGACCTGCATAGTATCTGTGTGTACAGCTCAGTGAGGCGAAGCTTTGTCGTGTTGTGTCCGAGAAGGCCAGCTGGGCCTGGGTGTCTCAGGGGGCCATCACTGTCTCTGAAGTGTATCAGTGCTGCTCTCCCAAATCCCCTTTCCCTGCTTCTTCGTGTGCAATTGTGGCTTGTGTGTTTTAGCTATTTAAGTATCCTCCACCTCTACCTTTTATTTTATTTTATTTTATTTTATTTTATTTTTTAGGAAATTTATAGGCCATCCATCACTGTCGTCTCTGGAAGGCTTACATAATATTAGAAATCCTAAACAAAATAAATTAGATATACCACGAACTGAGCATAAAACTGACATATTTAAAATAAATTAAATAAATACATGTACAATTAAAATTTTAATAAATTTAGCCTTTTAATAAAATCCTTTTAGCCTTTCAATAAAATCCTGGTTCCCAACACTTGGGCTGTTGTGTGCTGAAATCATATTCTGGTCCAGGACCCAGGACCCAGGATGGGAAGGACCGTGGGAGTGGGGAATCCTGTGTGGCTGTCTGCTAAAACATACACAGTATAAACATCAACAGGAAAAAGTACAAAACAACGTATTGCTTAAAACCTTCACAACAAAGGTGGTAAAAGTGAGCAGTGTCAAGGCCACTTACAAGTCTGTGAAAGCTTGACTGTACAATTTTCAAGAGATGTTTAATGGTTGCCACCATTTCCATCTCTTGAGACTGTTCCAGAGGTAAATCACTGCTGAGAAGGACTACTTAGCATGAAATGAGCCGACAACACTGTTTCTTTCCTCATTTCATTGTTAGAACTCATGAGGAATAATTCAGTACAGGGATGGAACTCACCCTCACCATTGGCTTTGACTGATGGAAGTTACAGTCCACCAACACCTGGAGAGGCATAAACTGTCCACCCCGCTTGTGTACAGATGCTCTGAACTTTCCATGAGCTAACTATTCTTTGAGCCAGGCTGGCACCAAGCATGGCTGTACCCAAACCCAGACTGTTGGGAGGGTTCCGTGCCTTGTGATGGGATTGGCCTTGGCCTTGGAGGCACATTTGGGAATTGCAGGCCCAGGGCCCTGCTCTGTTGACCAGGTAAGGCTAGAAGGCCAGGCTCCCCAGAGGACAGTCCAGCCCAGCCCAGAGGTTCCATAGTACCTTTCGATGGCAGGAATTGATGTTATCTATCTGCTGATCTATCTGCTGTTGCCTGGCAGCAGATGTCCTGCAGACTGTTTTACATGTCCCGAGCTCCTGAGGACAGCAGTGGCTCCTTAGCTCTCTTCCTCAGTGGTTGCACTGACAGACGTAATTGAGCCAGGCCAGCACTTCATCCAGGCTGTGTGATTAAAATGGTCTGCCCTGAATAACAATCCAATCTCCAATTCCTGGAAATAGGGCTGGGGGAAGCTATTTGCCCTAGACTTTCTGCAGGCCCCAGGGAGATCAGGTGGATCAGGACCTTTTACTTGCTATGCTAGAATCCTGATCCATATAATGCTGCCTGGGTTCACTTGCAAGTCAGGACAGTGGGAACACTTAACAGTAAAATTCTGTGCAGGTCTACCCAGAAGAAATACCATGCTGGTCAAAGTGGCTTACTTCCAGAGAAATGAGTGTAGCTATGCAGCTTAGGTGCTATATTTCAAGTTACTTAGGCTTTGAATTGCACCTTTCAAAAGGAGACATTCAAGTGGTGTGAGTGGTCCATTAATCCAGTTCTGAATGTACCACTGGCATCCCCAGAAGTGCTCCCCCAAGTCTAGCAGCTTGGCCCTATCCCCCTCCTCATTGCTAGAGCCCTGCAGCCACTGGGTAAGAAGGCATTTTCACATACAAATTATATGTGTAGAGAGGGGGTAGGCATAGCCAGCAACAGAAACAGCATCACAACCCAAGACTGAACTTCTTCTACACAAAGAGGAAGGATTCTTGACAAAAAAAGAGAGAAAACAAAAAAGAGAACGAGAAGAGATAAAGATGTGAGGGAGAAGATTGAGATATAAAGGGGAAAAGATTTCAGGGAAATTAAAATGTAGCAGTGGAAGAGACACATTTTAAAAACCTCTAAAGAAGGAACATGTCAAAGAAAGCCATTAGATGATGTAGTATTACTCGCACTATCAGATGCCAAATCCTTCTATCTCGGTAGTCGAATACAAGTACAACCGTGTTGAGACCCAAACACAGCAGAGCGCAGCATGTTACCCAGAATGGTGAATTATAAAGCAGCAGTTAAGGGAAAGCCTCTCCACCCATGGCAATACCTGCGGGAGGGGACAGGTTGCAGGGCTGCCTCTTCAGCATCACCCCATGCACCTGTTAGGTCCAGGTCACACTCAGCCTTAGGGCAAATTAACTGGGCAAAGCCCCATGGCAAGTTCATAAGCAGCTGAATGGTCAAGCACGGTGGTACCAGTCCAGCAAGAGGGCCGTTTAATGAGGGAGGAGCTAGGAAACGGGTGATTGCCAAAGGCACAAGCAGGCCGGCAAGAGGGCGAGGTCAGCACGACTGTGGTCCAGACAGGGATAAGGAGTCAAGCAGAGCCAAGCAGCAGTGCCAGAGTTCGCAGTGAAGAGGTTCAGGCCACAGCAAGGTCAGACCACATGGCTCCCACTCAGGAGGAGGGGCTTTCTCGCAAGGGGTGGGGTAGTCCTGCTCTGGAGGAATCGCCTCCTACAAGTGGACATTCCTTTGCTTTTGTACAGACCTGGGCTGTACTTTCAGGCCCTGGCGACCTCAGGAGATGGATCGTGGCTCAGCATCCCTCTTTGGCTCCAAGGCAGGGGTTTTCGTCTCCCGCAGGCCCAGGACCTTCCTGGTCATCCACAGAATCTCCTAAAGCAACCTGTTCCCTGAGGCTCTGCATCATTCCCGTGGCGGAGTGGTAAACCTCTACGCTGCTTTGGAGCCACCTGGGTGCACAGCATCTGGGATGCCCTCCAGACACTGCATGCTTCTGCGTAGACTTCTTGAAGCCTGGAAGACTCCAGCCATCATGAAAGAGGGACATCCCCGGAAGTGGTCAGAAAGCCATCCCTGGAGAAGTTGAATCCAAATGCCCAAATTTTGAACAATTACAGGCCAGTTGCTAGTTATGGAATGAAGCGAAGCAAAGTGAAGTGAAGCAACGCAAAGCAGCTAAACCAGGGGTGGTGGAGAAGTATTTTTGCTGTTGTGCCAGTTGCAAAAGAAGAAGCATATTCTTATTCCCTTCATCATCCTGGGTTTCAAAAGCGGAACATCTGTCATATGGCCGTGAAAAGCTGTTTTCTCTGCCACGGCTTGGTAGTTTAAAATGGATCTTCTAAATAGTTTAAGATTTTCTGCTATGTTCTAAAAAATGTGTAGCAACACCCTCTGCCCCCAGCTTCATTCCCATCTGCTACTTCGATCTTTATTGTGGCATCTGAGGATTTTCCTCATATTTGACATTCAAAATATGTTAGTTTGGCTGATATTTTTCCTCCAATTGTGTTAACAGGGTGGCTGAATTAACAGAGAGTCTGTGGTAGAGTGGCTAGAGTGATGGAGATCATGATGCTCACATGCCTTTCAACATGTCCCACCTTACAGGGTTTTTATGAAGATATAATGGAATGTAAGAAGAAGATTATGGGTTCCTTGCAGGAAAAAGGTGGGCTTTAAATATAATAAATACATAAATTCAGATAGTTCTAGCTTTTCAGTAACCAAGAACAACTCAGGTTATTTTTGGAATGTTTTTCTTTTGCTGAATCTAAGCAGCCACACAAAGGGCAATTTAATGGGTGCCAGAATATAACTTGGGAGGTACAAATTCAAAGCTGCCCCCCTCCCCAAGTTCATGGACTTTAATTCATGACTTTGGATCAGTCACTCTCTCTGATGACCCAAACTGCTTCACAGGATCGTTGTGAGAACAATATGTGTGACAGAACCTCGTAAGCTACTCTTGCTTCCTTGCAGCTTAAAACAATCTAGCAAAAATGTAAACATACGATCACTGGAATCTTCTGTTGGCAAAAGCGCTATGCTCAGGGAAGGCGCTGCTGCCTGATTCTCCTGGCACACGTCACAGTTCAGCCCCCATCCGGCAGGATCGGCTAAATCTCGGTGCAATATTTCCAGAGGCTGCTGTACAGTGGTGCAGGCTGGGGGAATTTGTTTCTACTGGCCCAGCTGCAAGTGCCCAAATCTATGCCCAACTGTTTGCATACCTGCGCTTGTCCTAAAGAACAGTACCCAGGATCCCACAAATGGTGCACGGGGTGTAAATACCACTGAATTCACTCAGGCTTGCTTCTGCAGAAAGACCCATTGCTGCTACAGTGACCCACATTACCTGGCATGGTGGGTTGCCGTGTGTTAAATACGCCAGAATGACCTGTGGTGTATCCATGGTGTTTGTGGTCTGAATCTGCAGCCTTTGCTGAGAACAATTAAAGGTTGCACTGGAGACCAGGCCACCAGGTGTCATTTGAGGCAGTCCTCAGTTAGTAGTAATAACCCACAATGACTTGTCCATGCCATGTGAACTGGCCCAACATCTTCCTTATAGGAAAAGTGAGTGCTGAGCTATGATCGGGCCAGGAGAGTAAAGAAGGAAGGGAGCCATTACTTGTTTGTAATGGCTTTGAAAAGGCTTGTCATCTCCTTCCCTTCCCTGCTGCTGCGCCATCCCCTCCTCCTCTCCTTTTAAAAGAGGGGCAAAAGGAGGAGCGGAAGCCATGTGTATGCTGAGGATGGAGTGGCAAAGCGTGAAATGCATGTGCTCATGAAGGCAGCCCTGCAGCCACGCCTCCCGAGGAAGTCCACCTTTAATCTGCATCGACAAACCAGCTCCAGCTGTTTGCATCTGTGGCAGGAGCAGCTCTTTTGCAAGGCTACCCGTTCGAGACTGAACCTGCCCCACATCCTTCAGGGGACTGGGCAATCTCACGGAGGTTAATGCAATGGTGTCATGACGCACTAGGCTATCTATATCAGAGGCAGGGTGCTGGGGAACATGGGCAAGGGTGCAGTTGCACTCACATCCTGGTTGCAGGTTTCCCATGGACAATGGGTTGGCCACTGGTTAAAGAGACTGCTAAACTGGATGAAGCCTTGCTTGGGTCTAGCATGGGTCCCCTTACGTTCTTATATTCCAAAAATATTATGCATTTTAAAATGATACAATATTGTTGGGAAAATGAATTCTGCACCCATCTGCACTCAGCTTCTTTGGGATTGCAGCTAAATGGATATATTGGGGTAGGGGTAGCTGATGGCATTTGCATTCCTTCTAGTCACAGCTACCCGAACTGTATCCATGGGAGACCCATGTGGCTCCATCACACCACTGGTACACAACCAAGCTGAGCTGGAGGACAGCATGAGAGAGCCCAAGAAGGGAAGGAGAGGTCAGATACTGCTGTCCATGCCAAGCAACCTGCCACTCTTGAAAGCCACCCCCAAATCCACTGCCAGAAGGGTTTCTCAGGCTGCCTCCTTATCTAACCACGCATAGATGGCAGCTATGGCTTTGTCCAGCAGCTCTCCAAGGGCCTATGGGAGTCCTTCTAGTGCAACATGCTCAGATACATTTTTCATCAGGACAGAGATAGCATTTGACAGCTTATTACTGCGACACTGGCAACCAACAAAAGTTAGAAACGGATTAGGAGTACATTGGCCTGGCTGAACTGAATTAGCACGGTCATTTTACAGATAGTTAAGTTTTGCATTTCTTTTAAAACCATTTTAACTATAATCTGCTAATATGTGTTTCATTGCTCCAAAGGTTGCTTTACCGATAGACTCTTTATGGCATTTCAATACAGAACAGTTTGATAACGTGGACTGATGACACCCTAACTCCTTGAACAGCGCCCCCTGCAGCGTTTCTCCTCTCATCGTGGACAACCTCGTGATGAATAATGAAACACAGAAAACCAAAACTCTGATTTAGAGATAGATCATGAGACAAGGAAGCAGTTCTGCATCTGTTTCTTTTAAGTTTTCTTCTCAGCTGTGTAGTTGTGGCCCAAGAACAAGAGGAGGGCAGATAAGAGAATTAGAACAAAAAAATGTATTCTGAGATTGCCATATTTTGGGATAAAATAGGAGCAAGTAGAAAGAATGGATAAAATGGGAGGGAGTAGTAAGAATGCGTTATTTCTAGCTAGCGCTCCTGAAATCCGCCAGATGTAATTCTTAGATTATAAATCCTTTGGGAACAGAAAGAGACACTGCCAAATGTTCTGTATTCTGCCTGAAACCTGGGGATTCAGTGGTGTCTGTCATTCTCTCCCTCCATGAATCCATATGGCTGTCACGATGTAAACGGGGATGTTTTCAGAGACAAAGGCAGGCTGATATCAAGGGCAAGTATGATTGGAAAAGGTCTAACAAGCACGGGGCCCGTGGCTAAAGCCCCCTGGAGTGGCTTCTCCTCTTCATTGCTGCAACGCTTTTGCTCACCTTTTCTGTGTTCTGGCTGGGACAATGCTGGTGTGGCAAGAGACGCACTAGATGCCTCTGTCTGTCTGTGCACTAGCTCTCTGCCTGCCAAGCACGTGAGTGGCAACCAAGGTGGAAAAGAGCAGTGGGCAGAGCAAAGTGACAGGCGACGGTGGAGTGGGAAGGCAGGCTGACTCAGGGAAGGGCTCTGAAGTTGCCTGCCCAAAGAGGCCCAAAACCTGGGAGCCCACACTGGATACAGGTGTGGCTCGTGCAGGGCACCCTCCTTTCGGCATGCGGGTGGTGCACAACAGGCCATCTCGAGTTGACCAGACATGATAACATGGCCGGTAGACAGTACTGCTGGATTTTGCATATTAGTAGTGGCATTTCGAAATCCTTGTTTTGTGTCCAGAAGTGATTTCCAGCACGTGAACAGTGCTTTCTGCACAGAGAAGTGTTCACAATAAACGTGAAACCAAAACCAACATTGATCTGCAACCTCTAGGAGAAGTGGACATGGAAGGCCAATATAATTCCTATGAGCATGCTTCCATGCTCAAGATGGTGCCCAAGCATGTGTGCAACAATGCCAACGGCTAGTCTTCTGCACACAGTTCTCTGATTTCAGCTGATTCTCATAACATCACATCAACATGGAGAACTGGTTGGCATCCAAATGCTGCCTCATTATGGCTGACAATGGTGGCCCCGTGTGTATCCAGGTGCAATTACTTGGTTTCCCCAGTCAGATATGAACCACCACCAGATCCTCGGCCCCTTGCCTATCAAAAAATCATATTCTGTGCCTAAAAGAACTGAGACAAACAAACAACTATAACGGTAGAGCAACATGTCCTATTTGATAGATGCTTGAGGTTACATACCACTTTACAAATGAGATTGTACCGCCACTGTGGACTTTATTCTTCTCCAGGAACAATTGTCCCACAGGCAGATTTATTAATCACTGCCTCATTTTCTTAACGTAATTTTCTTTCCATACACAGAATGGGACCCTGCACTGATGAAAATGGGGAAACCGGATGGACAAAGTGCCTAGAGCTGTTGGAAGAAAGACTGAAAGAAATATCCATTTAGTAACTCCTGCTGTGCAGTTCACACTAAGATTATTTCAGGAAGGTGAAATTTAGCATTTGATGTGCAAAGATTTTCACACATAGGCATTGACTGTCACAAGGAAAACATTATTATCCTTCAGTGGTTTCTACAGTGTCCTTCGCAATTCAGGAGTCAGGCCAATTTAATTTAGGTCATTTTTCATTCCTGACTTCTAAACCTTCTGCCATAATGCGAAGGCAACTGGTTGTAAGTAATTTCATAGTTGCACTTCAGTCACACTAAGTTCTGCTTCTTGCACGCTTTCCTCACTCATGTAACGGGAAAGGCACACTGCTGAATCACAAAGATGTCACGCAAGTGCTGCCGTCCAATTATATCTCTGCAACGTGCTCAGTCAGACGCTAGGTAGCAATACATCTATATAATTCTTCAGCAAGGAACCGTGTTGGGAGCAGCCCTCATTTCCTCCAATGAACACACTTATTGTACAAATTTAAATGTGCACACCGTGCAAATAATTTGAAGCCCCCAGTAAGTCCTGTTAGGTTCTAGGATTGCAATAGTGTTCCCTAACTGGGCCCTCCAACAATTTGGACTCGAACTCCCTTTAATCCTAGACAACATCTGGAAGGTTGTAGGTTCTGGAAGGCTGTTCTCCACCTTTTTAAGTTTATTATTTAATTTAATAAAACAAAACATTTCTATCCTGTCTTTCACTAAATGTCTCAAGATGGCTTACAGATGCCCTCTATTTCTCCTTCTCTGTACAGACATTGTGGAAGTCTGAGTTGTCAAAGGAGGTCAGATCAGTTGGGGGTCTGCATGGTAGCTTTGTCCATAGACAACCCTAGATAGATAGATTTGCCTTCCTCAACATGATGCTCTGCTCAAGTCCAAAATGTTTGGCAGGTACCAGGTTGTAAAAGATTAGCACAGGGCAGCCTTTCTCAACCTTTTTTCAGGTGAAGCGACCCTTGAAATAATTTCCATGCCTCAGGGAACCCCTGGAAATATATATATGTGAGATAAAGCTAGGCCCTGGATTTAATGCAAATAAAGGTTGTAAATTTATCTTAGTGCTATTTACAACGTGAAAAATTATTGACCATGTGCAGCATTCAAAACAACAGCAAATGTACCCCAAAACATCTTCAAACAAAGAGGATATTCAAAAAGTCATTTATAAGATTAAAATAATAGAACTACCATAATGTTCAGCAGCAAACAGCTTTGACTGTTGGGCAGAATAGAACTTAATTAATCAATCAATTAATTAAAATGTGCCACATTCCTCTGCAACAGTGTTGGCAACTACCAAATGTCAGTCCCCCAGTCCTGTCTGCCTCCATTCACTCCACTCACAAGTTATCATCAAAAACAAAAAACCCAACAACAACTTTGGTGCACTTAAGCATTAATTATCAGTATGCTATTAAGCTTGTTGAATTGGACAGATAACGTGTGTAATTGTATTATGAACACACATGTATATGCACAGTCTCTTGCGGAACCCTCAGGAAGAAAGGCTGGAACTGTGTACGCTTTATTCCTGTGCACGTCAGCGTTTGTGCCTTCTGAAATCTTTGAATGGATGTGTAAATCCAACATTCATGTGAAATGTACTGTGAGATCCCTAGCCCAGTTGTAGTTTTTGAAAGTCAGGTTCTCAGGCATGCAGATGCATTTTGGACGGCATGAAAAAGGCACAGTTGACCCTGGACTGAAATTCAGGAAACTCATTTTTTGCTTTGCTCTACCATGTGAAACTTCATTTGATTTTGTGCCAATAAATTCAAATCTTCTTACATCTTCACTAGAATATGCTAGATACTTCTGTTAATATTTTGATATAATGCTTTATTTGTATTATTTCAATTCGATTCTATACAATATATATTGCATATCATATTGCATATTATTACAGTGTTTAATTAACATATCTTTCATGTCAATGGGCAATTTGGACAATTAAAAAAACATGTATTAAAACCCACCTGATATTCCGTTTTTGTCATGCCTTAATAGTGTTCACGTTGTTAAATCCCACACAATGTTCTCATTGGACCTGGCTTCGAAATGGCTTGTAAATGCCTGCAGTGAGGAGTGCGGATAGCTACTTCAAGCACTCTCTCAGTCTCAAATACATAGACTAGAGCTATCACTCTGAAAGTCTTCACTGTATGGTCATCTGGCCCTGGGCGCACCCCTTGAGAAACCAGACATACATAAATGGATTCTGAAATGTAGCTTGAGAAAGACCCAGAAGTGGCAGGAGAGGAGCAGCTTGTTGGACTCTGCAGGTGAATGGATCTACAACAGGGCTGGGAAACTGTGAGCAGAAAAGGAGCAATTCTTCCTTCCCAGCCCTGGGCACCCCCCCGCTACCACATCGCCAAATATTGTAAAAAGCAAAAGTGACCTCCTTCAATTTGTTAGTTCCATGTGGGGAGGAACTTAATAAGAAGGAGCTAATCCTTCCATTCTGAGCTGCTGCAAAGGATTAGCCCAGGCACCTTTAGCCTGAAAACAAGTTAAATTGGTCCATCCAATGCCTCTGTTGTGATTTCTTTCCCACTTAAGCACAGTGGGGACAATGGGAGGCAGAGGGAACTGGCCACAGCCCGTGCGGCATGTGTTACCCAACCCTGAGCTACGGCATCTTGGGAAGCACAGCATAAAAACACAAAAGGGAACCCTGCTGGATGCTGAGTGGCTTGCGAGGGAGGCCGTCTCCAGACAGAGGCTAGATCAGCGGTTAGACAAATATGCTATTTCATGGTTTGGAAGCACGATAACAAGCAACACCATGTTGCTTTTGTTAGTGCTACGAAGGAGCAATCTGTGTGATCTTTTAGGGATATTACCAGTGTGTGTTAGAAGTAGCATATTTAGCGCACTGGGGGCAGGGAAGTTGCTCTGCTCTGATTTATATGCCACACAGTTATTCAACTTTATCGGGAGGCGCATTTCATGCAGCAGCACAGATAAGGTTCTCCATTCCGTTCAGACTGGTATTAACATTGCCACATCTATCTGCTGGATATTTGTCTCACTTTAATGCATCCTAGATCCAGTTTAAAGGCGCTTCCCATTCCCATTCATGCACATGGTGTTACAAAGTTATCAGAAAATCATATGATCCCATGGCTTCCAGACAATTTATTTTCAGAGGATCTCTTCTCACTTACAAGTTTTCTGGTAAGAAGACCCTTCAATTTCGCTACAAACCCCTGATCACTGCTGGGGATTCTGGGATGATTTCTGGGGTGTGTGCTCAGTTCATGGAGAAGGCTAGCTGGGTTTTGGGTCTCTCAGGCCTGTGTCCCTCCATGTGAAGTGACAGTGCAGTTGAAACTTTCTGTAAAGTCACCTATGACTGCTCATGGTGCTGTTGCTCATCGTAAAGTCGTGCCTGACCCATCGCGACCCCATGGACAACATTCCTCCAGGAATATGTATATGAACAAGTTCTCACTCAACAAAGTACATCTACCATTACTGATGTCTTTTTAAGTTCACAACCCAACAACACACAGCAACTTCTCTTCCTGTGTTGTTTGTAGTTAACAAACCATGGTCTGTTAGTGTGGTATTGTTCCCACATAGGACAACTCAGAATTCGACAACCCAAACTGGGAATGAGAGAGGAATCCACCAGATTCCCTGATCTCAGATCCCCAGACTCTGGCCTTCTTTGCTGAGGCTGTGCATCCAAGTTCTTGGCAGATGCATGCAGCATTCCCATGGCGTTCCACGTCTGGTGAGTGCTGTGTGAATGCTGCACACGCAGTGTCCCGGCACATGATGAAGAAGCAGGGTGCTAGTTATACAGCCTTCACTCTGAGAGTTGTCATGGACTTCTGCTCAGCTCAGTTCACTTTCTCAGACAAGGACAAGAATGAGAGGAAGTTTTTAAATGTTAGAGAGGAAGATTCCTTGGAAGTTTGTCACAGTACATGAGTTAGGATTGTGTGTGAGTTTCTGTTGAGCAATGCATAAAGAAACAAAGAGTTTTTTTTTTTTTAAATAAACACTCCCATCTTCACTGAACTCTTTTCAGACCTATCTGCATTAGGAAATAAACTCTAAATTTGCAGCAATATTTAAGAGAGATTGCAGTCATTCCGTATTTGCAAAATATCATTTTACTGTTTATTGGTTTTATTAACTGAATTTGCCTTTTACAGCTTCTTTCTATAATGTTAGGAAAACATGTTTCTCCTACTCTTTCTCATCTGTAAACCATCTAAACAAGGTAGTTCTTCATTTTGCCATTCCTAGTGAAAGTAATTTAATATACCAATAACCCCAATTCATGTTAATATGTGATGACAATCTAATAGTCGTGTGTGAATTACAAATCCCACACTGCCAAAATGGAATTTGTTTTCTTTCCAAGTCACTAAGCCACTCCACTAAGGAAAGGTCTCATTCCATGCACAGATAATTTAGAAATCCAGCAACAATTTTTTAGGCATGAGTTTTCAAACTCGTGGGTAAAAGTCATTCTGCCATGCACAACTTAACGTTGATGGCAGGAAAAGGTAGCATTCTCCAGGTGCGAACTGTGGCTGAATTATGCTTTGCTTTAGTTAGACACTGTTCAGGGGCCCGATGGGCCACATCTTGAGCCTGAAGGCCACTTCTTCCAGTACTTTCCAAACTGGAACCATTTTTGTACTTTGTACAGGTATCAGTGTTCAAGGTGCACAGTGGTATTTTGAATACGTTGCTGCTTTTCCTTAGTAAAAGTACAGAAAAACGATGCTTAGGGAAGCACCGTGCTGCCATAAAGTTTGGGATATTCTGCAAAGCAAATGGTGCTTTGAACATGTGTGCACCATTTACAATTCTGTATGGAGAGATAAAACTGTGTGTCCAGTTCCTTTCGTACCTGAAGTCACACGAAGGGACAACAAGCATGCCCAGGAATGGTGGGGGCCTGCACGGGCCCATGTTCCTCTTACCTGGCCATGGATTTCTGACCTGGGCGCACTATGCCGTCTGGGCTGAGGGCAGAAGTCCAGCTCTTCTGTGTAAGCAGAAGCCTTTAACGTGAGCAATGCGTGATGGGCGCTTTTATGTCTGCAGACTCTGGCAGTGCCCAATATCTCAGAAGTGCAGGAGTTTATTAAAATCCAATGTATTTCGGAAATACAATTTTCTTTTTCAGGGCCAATCTGGGTAAGTATGCTTCTGGGCTCTAGGGCATTCCTGAATCAAATTCATTTCTCTTTTGTTTCTCGGCTGCATAGCATGCCTTCGCTACGTCCAATATTCCACACTTCACCATGGAGTGTGATATTGTAATCATTTCAGTCTGACTGATTCTTTTTGGAAGTCTTCACAGCAACGTGGCAAACATGAAGAAGCTTATTATCTGAGTTTCTATCTTTTAAGGACATTCATACATGTAGTTGCAACTACTCTTCCAAATATTTGTCCATGAAATCAAAGTGGCCTGCGGATTCATAAAAAACATATAGGCTCAGCAGGATACCGTCTTGTTAGCTTGCTGATTCTTATGTAGCTTCAGAATAAATTCTGTTATCTCTCAGTTGTCAGGTTTATATCCTTCTCTATTGTGTAGCCTGCAATACGGAGTCACTAGTAGTTCTTTATGTGATTCGAAGAAAAGGCTCGATCACCATCTCTCAAATGAGAGCTGGTACTTATTGTCATTGCTTCATCTGAAAGTGTCTTAAGTGTAATGACCTTTGTGGTATGCTGCAATTCATATTATTTGCCAAGGGTTCATATGAGGGAAGTTTCAAGTCTGCGAAAATGGTCTTACCATTTTTCTTTCTTTCAAATGGTCTGTCCTACATAAGTCATGCCAGAATGTGCTGTATGAGAAGATCTGAGCCATTCGCAACATTGGTCTGAGTGTTCTACTAGTATAAAGTTCTAGGACACATTTAATTAAAAGTTCTAGAGAGGCCATGACTTCAGGTATTATGTCCAGATATGTTCAATCTCTGCGAATTAAGGAGAACTGAAAGAGCAACAGCGTTCACAATGGCTTTTGAGAAGCATTCTGTGATCTTGAATGAAAGAAGAAAGTTGCAGTGGAACTTAAGGCTATTTAAGGAGACAGGAAACAAAACTGCTGTCTTACAGAAGAGAAGGTATGAAAAAGACAAAGTGTATTCAGTGGTGAGCATAAATGGCACAAATCAAATACAGGTTTGCCACCTTGGTTAAAACAAGGCCATTGATGCGGTTGCAATGGGACAAGCCGTTCAACAAGGTGGGTGAAGCTATTCAACTAGGCATGGAAAAGATCGTCCAGATGGATGTTTATGTGCAGG